AGGCTGTCTAGGCTCGTTGTATTTTTTTATTCCCCCCCATAAAATACAGTGACCACTAGCACAAATACAGAGTTGGCAGCAATTTCAGGGCTGGCGTTTGATCTTGCACAAACAGCCTGGCTTGATTGCTCCACTGATGCCATGGAGGAAGCTTTGGTTCGTGCTCTGTCTGTTGGGCCCAGCGGGAAAAGGTTCTCCATCTGCCCAGGCCCGGGTGTCGGTGGAAGAGCACTCAGTGGTTTGACTTCCTATGGCCTGGGCTACGTAGCGTGAGGGTTAGCTCTTGTCACGTTCTTTGTGCTTGCGGGATGCGGACCTTGGTGGTTTGACATGCAGAAAGTAACTCTGTGCCTTAAGACAAGACCAGATGAGCGCAACAGTCCCCAGATGCACCATGGCATGCACCCACCAATTGCATTAAGGATTTGCATGCCATCTTTGTTGCCTCCTTACCACGGCACCCTGTGGTTTCCAGAATGGGTGCTGTGGTGCCCAGATCCACTCGGGCAATCCTAGAGAAGCCACAGGGGCAAGGAATCCAAGAGGTGTACGGGGATTCTTCTTTGAAGCCTCAAGCAAAGGGCATCGCTTGAAAGCCTGGAAGGCCACTGGCTGGGGTGGGCTTGCTCCACATAAGAACACAAGAAGTGCCATCCTGCATCGGACCAACGGTCCACCTAGCCCAGTATACTGTGTCTGACCGTGGCAGAAGTGGATGCTATATAGGGAGAGCATCAAACCAGATATCTCTGGAGTAATCTGTCCTCTATTCAATATACACCCTGGTTATTGGTTTCGAGATGGAAACCTTTCCAACATCCCGTCGCTATGGCAGGGTCTGACACGGAGACTGTTTTCTGAAAATGCTGAGTGTAGCAGGTTTCCCTGGCCACTTCCCCCTCCGTTGGCTGGGCTCCGATGCCAGCTCTTTCGCTGTTTAATTTTTTCCAAAGTCACGTCCTGTTGATCTGCTGTGGAGTCCGCAGCCAGCGACCGCTGCATCCTGCTTCGATTGCTCCAGCACCTCTGGCCTCGCGAGCATTGCAGATGTGAAATTAAAATGGAAATGAAGTTTTGGCTGAGGCCGGGAGATGCAGGCAAGGCTGTCAGTAGGTCTCTGATCAATTTGGGGTAAGCACCTGCAGGATGGCTGCTGACAACACGGTCTGCAGATCTGGTTTCCCACGTGCTGGCGCAGCCTCGGACTCAGGTTACTTGTTAATGCGACTGCACCCAAAGGTTTGCCTCGTTCTCACTGAAGTTGTTCTGACCCCCTCTTCAAGCCCAGTGCCAATCTCATGTACTGCTGAGTGTTACTCCCTGTAGACACAAGATTTAATAGATAGACTTTAATCAAGCTAGCTGGCCTGCTGCCAGGGGCTGGGATTAGCTGGAGCTCAACAGTGCAGTTCTTTTGTAAGGGCTGTTAGGAGCCACCCGCCACTTTTGATTCACCACCTGGCCACAGAAGGTGCTTCCTTGGCATTTGTGCCTCAGGGTGGAGCTAATAGCACAGAAAAGCCCTGGAACCACCCAGGGAGCCAGTGAGGAGGTTGAATTGGGGAAATTAAACAGCTCAGCATCCTGTGTGGGTGAGGATGAAGCATGGAGTGCAGCCTGTCTGGGCTGCGCACCCCTTCACCTGCATAGGGTCCTGGGGATGACGTTTTCCCCTTGGCGCTAACCTGTGAGGTCTGAGGTCCCCACCCCAGGTATATGCAGAGAAGGCAAGGTCCCATTTTGCCAAGACCCAGCCTGTTCCATGAGGCTGTTTGGCCTGGTTTCCACTGGCACTTCCAACATGATACTTTTGTCTTCATCCTGCAGCCGGTTGGCACTCAGCAAATGCCACTTGCAAGTGCTGGGTGTATAGGTCAGATATGGACTCACGCTGTGAGTCTCTTCCGGCTGCCATCCAAGCAGCCACACTGATCAGCACTTGAACGCTGCGGCTGCCCAGGGATACTCCAAGGAGGATGCTGTGCATGGAAAGAGAGAATACAGGGGCGTATGGCACTATTAAACTTAACTAGGGGTGCACCAACCCAGCAAGAGGAAAAGTTTGACTTCATGACTTCAATCACGTAGTAAACTTTGGTTCAAGCGTCTGTCAAAACATGCTGAGATCGGTGCGAGTACGGGATTCTGTGTTTTTTGATATCGTCTGCTTTTGTTCTGACTGGGTTTAAAGGTAGAAAGCAGAAAGGTTTGCTTTCTGTGGTTGCTCTGGGATGTACCTGATTTCCTTTTCCGCTTGACGGTGGGTAGAGTGAGGCCTGATCCCCAGACTGGCTCCGACCCCAGCCGGGTTGTCATGGCAGATGAGTTATCCCGCCCAAGTCCCGTGTACCCGCTCTGGGAAGGGCACTGCTTGGCGAAGGGTGCAGCTGCAGACAGCACTGTGGGCACAGGAGCCAGTAGGTATCCACTGTCCAGGAACGAATTTTGGCTGGAATTTGAGGAAGGTGGTTTCTCACCTTTAGGGGAGGAGGGGTCCTGGCACTGCCTGCTGGTAGGAGCAGCAGGGGCTAGATGGAGCCTGTGATAGCGACGGATTGAACACATTTGTTGCCTGTGATAGCAAGGGATTGAACTCAAGAGAATCCCTTCCAGCCCTTTGTCCCTCAGCAGGGACTCATCGCCCTGCGAGATGCAGATCTGGGTTTCCCCTGCAGCTCTAGCAAGTGGTTTTGCTTTGACAAGGACCTGCATAAAAAACAGGATCTTCTTACTCAACCCTGTCCTTCAGCGCGCTTTCTTGAGACTCAGCTCTGCTGACTCGAGTGACTAAAACGTGCTTTGCCTGCTTCTCTCTCCTGTGTGCTGAGAGTGAGGGGGCTTGGATCTGGCCTGTGCAAACGCAGGGACAGTAATGGATTGGCACAGGTGTTCGGAGGCTGTGCAGGTGTCCCCGATGGCATTGTGTGGGCTGCAGAGACCTTCACCCAGGGGATTGTGCGCAGGCAGGAAAAACCCCGCATGGTTCTTTGGTTACCAGGGCTGAGAAGCCAGAACAGGGTCAAGTTCACCAACAAATAGTAAATCCCCTAAAACATGCTGTTAAAGGGGGATTCGAAACCATTCATGAGTCCGGGCCCAATTCAGCAAAGAGTTTCAGCTAAGCCATGGCTGGGGGCGGGGAGGGAAGGGGAATTTTCAGAAAAACAGAAACCTTTTGGTTTGACATGTATTGTTAAATGAAACCTTTCAGCTCTCCATTTCCAAATGGACTGTTTTTTGGGGGGTTTTTGGTTTTGTTTTTTTTTTGTAAAGTGCTAGGAGGATTAAAGTAGCTGGGGGAGGGGGAATCCTTTTGGGTTGCCTGGAAACATTTTATTTGCCGTCAAGTGAAATTGGTCTGGTGTTTTGTCAAAATAGATTCATTTGGGGCTAATTTTTCTTTTCTTATTGGCTGTATCCATGGCTCTCGGAGCCACGCTCCACGCCGGTTACCCAGCGCACCTGTTACAGGGAAAATCAGGGAGGCGATAAAGGCCCCAGGATGTCCTCTTTATGCAGTCACCTTGCCTTCCCTCCTCTCTGCTTTGCAGCGTGATTTTGAACTGACACATCAACAGCTAGTAGCACCGTAAAGCCCTGTCGGGTTGGGCGCGGAGTAATTCATGCAAACCCCGCGGGGCCAGGTGGCAGCATCCTCGGACGCACCGCGCTGCTGGGTGCCGGCTACCTCCTGAACCAGGAGCGCTTGTAGCTACGTTTGCACAGTGTAGCAGACAAGCGAGTTAGCACAGACACTCGGCAGCGCCTGCCGGACCTGGTTACACCGGAGTTAGCCTGTGGGGGAGCAGCACGGCGTGCTCGAGGCAGGGTAGCATAGACCACCGCCGGGCAGCATAGCTGGTGCCCCTGCTGCAGAGAGACCTCCACCCCGCCCCCACCACCAGGTTTGAGCTTGTTTTTTTCCAGGCTGACTTGAAAGGAAAATAGGAAAAGGAACCAGCACACTCCTCCTCCCATCAGCCCAGCACCGCAGCCGTGTTGGCCAGGGAGCTGGCAGGAGGGGGTGGGGTATTGGTGCAGAAACTGTGCAAAGCTCCTTGGGGGCACCTCGCACTCAGGTCCTAGGAGCGGGTGTCCAGACCAAGCGCCGTCCAGCCAGCCGCCTTCTCGTCCGCAGAGCTGCTGGGATCTGCTGTATAGCCTGTGCGTTTACCCTCTCGCGAACGGGCAGTGGCGCCTTTGCCCCACGGCTCGCGTGAAGCGCCTCGCATAGAAAGCAGCACAAAGAGCTGGAGGTGAATTGAATGAGGCAGGTCTACCCCCTGCACGGACAGCTTGTGTCACCAGGTACCTGGGGCAGTAATCGGGTGCTAAAGCGCATTCATTCCCCTTGTGGGGGCATTTGGGCTAACTGCCATGGAGTACCCATCCCTCGGACACCATGTCTCTGGGAAGCATCACGTAGGGCGTGTTTCCCAGACAGCCTGGTCTTAGCTCCTCCTGGAGTAGCCTCCCACGTTTCGGGAGCTACGCTGGCTTGTTTGCGGTGCTGCAGACGGCACGTGCTGCCGTGGGCAGATTCATCAGCCGGAGGACGGGAAGTTTGCTAGCCTGCTGCATTCACCCCAGGACCCTTCGGAAGCTGCCTCCTCTGTGCATGAGCTCCCATCCCGATGGGGTCCGGAGAGACCCCTCAATGCCCAGCCTTTCACCACTGCCTAAAGGTCTGAGCTCGCGTCCTGCAGTCCAGAGGCAGGTCCAGGGCTAAGCATTTGGCCTGTTTTACTACCAGCCAGGCCACAATGTTCCTCCCCAGGACAGAGCATCCCAAAATTTGGGTCCTCGCCCA